CATACCTTACCGACTACATGTACCACGTATATTCTAAACCTCCGCCCTCTTAAACCACAAAATCTCCTTTTTCTCCCACTCCCTGCGAAACTCTTCGAAGCCGGGAGTCGGAGCCTCGCTTTCCTCGTCCACGTCCATGGCCGCCGCCACTGCCGTCGCCTCCCCCAACCTCCCTGCCGACCCCACCCAAACGCCGTCCTCCTCCATCTCGTCGAGGCGGTTGAAGCTGTGGAGCATGTTGTGGAGGATGCACGCGGTGAACCACGCGTTGTCAACCTTCTGTCGTGTGGAGAACAACATGTCACCACCGAAAAGCCTCCAGCGCCCCTTGACTCTGCCGAAGCAACACTCGATGTCCTTGCGCATGCTCTCCAACCGCCTGCTCCAATCGTGCTCCTCGACGGTGTTGTGCGTCTTGATCGGTGGGATCAGAAGCGGGATGTGTGATACGGCAGACCGAAAATGACTATCGGGTGTTGGTTTAATGCGAACTTGTGTCGAAACAACGTGATCTGTCTCCAAGGACTGCGCAAAGGGGCAAGGCGTGCCAAGAAATAATTCCTTGACAACTACATAAATAGACGCTCCCATCCCAAGCCAGAAATAACAAACAGCTAGGATGGACGGGAATGCAAAACACGAAGTGGTACGGGTACACGTACTAAGTAGAGTACGGCAACGTTCTTGTCTGGTGGGTGTGAACTGATCCCGGAGGGGAATAATACACACGGGTTCCCCACCATGAACGGAGCAACAGAAAAAGCAAGGACCGAACGCGACGGGGTTTCGCCAGAGGTTTTCGCACTTACAAACATGACGCTTCTGTGGGCGGGGGTATATAAAAAATGCAGTACGGGCCAGGCTAGTCACGCCCGTTCACACCAACGACAAAAAAGTGGTCAAAAACCAACAACCGAAACTAACCTTCGGGTACCCCCCGTCCACGATGATCCACGCCCCTGTGTACTCCGTCTCCGTGCCGTCGGCGTTGTAGAGCTCGAACTTGTATAATAGCTCTTCCACGGCTCCTCATCTCGTATTCGCCAGATGGACTTGTCCCGTGCGATGACCGTCTTGTCGTTCTCGGCTCCCGGGTAAGTCTTGGTTGCCGCGATGATGCGGCCAGAATGGTCGCACGTGCACTCCACCACCAGCGACGTGTAGCCCTCCTTGCCGGTGTGGGTGTTCTTCTCGGAGAACGGGCAGCCCGGCCAACAGAAGTGGGTGCAGTCCGTAGATCACCTCGCCCCCGGGTAACCACACTTGCGGTAGATCTCCTCGACCTTCTTGAATTCATCCCCGCCCGGGAGTTTCACCCAAGTGTCCCAGAGGCCCTCGGAAAACTTCTCGCAGAAATGGTGGAAAGAAGTCTCTGCGGTCGTGCGGCTCATCAGAGAGAAGGAAGCGACGTCCTGGAAGCAGCATCCCGACGCCAACACCTTCAAAGTACCCATCACCTATGAATGATACAGCAGTACAGGGGGCACACACAACGGCGGGCGGCGGCGGGGGGTTGTAAGCTGTCATGCGAAGGGAATGTATACTCTTTTACCAAGCTGTGGCTCGAATGTATGCTCTTGTATCATCGAGAGAGTTGCAGAGCTTTGCGGGAGACGACGAGTGGGCAAGTACAGCAGTAGGGGTGTGTCGGTGTGTTGAGGATTTTTGCAGCAGAGTGCGTACCATTTTGACGGTATTGGCTTGCTGCTGCAGCTCCGCGCACGTGTGTTACCTCGAGGGCGTCACACACCTGCCATGCGAAGGAAATGCATACTCTTCTACCAAGCTGTGACTCGCTCATGGAACAAACACAAAGTGCAATCCTTCGCACATCCATCGGCATTGTTGAATGTAGTACTGCTGCTTCCATCATACTTGCACGGGCTACTTTTCGAGAGTGTCGACACCGAGTGTGACACCTCGGCCAGCAGCGCCGTGCAGACGTAGTTGGAGAGGGAGTGCGCTTCTTTGTCATCTACAGCATCTGGTCAAAAATTGCAAACTATAAGTCTATAGTGTCCCCTCTACGGTACACACGACGCGGTTCGTTTGTGCACGCAGCAGCAGAGTACGTACCCTTTTTGCGATCTTTGCTTACTGCTCAACTCCGCGCACGTGTGCTACTTCGAGGGCGTGCTACTTC